TGGCATCATCTTGTTTCCCTAATGTCTTAGCTTTTTGACTGTTTACCATTGTGCAGTGTTAAATCAAGTCTAGGTTTATGGTTAACAAATGATCTGCTTTATCAGGGTCTGGTATACACACTTTACCACCGAGTGACTGCTCCTGGTCTCTCACTGCTGTTTGTATTCAACTAATACACTGAAACATGTTCCATATGTGATTTGAGAAAACTGTAATATGAAATGTCAGGCTGCTCATCCGATTTTTTAAAAAGTGATTTTTCTTAATTTTTGGAGCCAGCGTCTTGAAGTGCTGCCCAGGGTGGTGTCCAATTCCTACGCTCCAGCAATCCTCCTGCCTCTGCCTCCAGCGTGGCTACAGGTGAGGGCCAGCGTACCCTACTCTCTCATCTAATTCTCAATTCTGTAAGCAGTCAGGCTTTTAAGATGAAAGAGTCTATCGTGATTTCCGATCAACTGCCAACACTGAACATTTAAAGTGTGGTAGAGCCACTGCTGACGCCATCAGCATGAGTGTGTGGGCCCTGGTGCTATGGAGGGCAACCCACACATTGACCCTTACGAAGCCCAGTTTCAGGACACATGACAGTTGCCAGGGCCAGGGAGGGGCTGGCTGCTCCTGGAGAGGGGTAGTAAACAGGACTGGGTCCCTAGAGGCTGTTCTTCCCACACCACCTCAGCCAAGAAGACATGGAAACGAAAGGGGTCAAACATACCCATGGGAGCACCAATCACCGTGACAGCTGCAGCCATCTCCTAGGCTGCCGTCTACAATTAGCCACTGCTGCTGGACAAGCGTCCTTGGGGAAACTCCCCGGCAAGAGGCACAAGGTATGCTTTTCCTTTCCTCTGGTGCTATACACGGAACCTCAGGCTTTGCTCAGGCTTAAGTTTGTGCTACGCCTCCAGGTGCAAGGCACAGTTTTGAGCTAAGGTACAAAATCTCTATTTTGTGCTTTAAAAAAATGGGAAAACAGGCTGGGGAGATGGCTCAGCGGTTAAGAACACTGGTTGTTCTTGCAGAAGATCTGGGTTCGAATCCCAGCATCCACATGACAGCTAACTGTCTGTAACTCCAGTTCCAGGGGATCCGACGGCCTTGTCTGTCCAGGTGATGGTCCATGCATTACCTACATGCAGGCAATGCTCTCATACACACAAAAATAATAAAATATATTTTTTAATTTTTTTTAAATGGGAAAACAAATTTCAAGCCTCCTAAGTTACTGCTCCAGCAATGTGAAAAATTAGCAAAGTATGAAAAGCTTTCTGATTTTTCCAGCCAAAATTGATTTGTGTTAATAACACTGATATTATATGTACAAGAATAAATCAAATCTACTTATTTGAAGTTCAGGACATGTTACTTTCTTTTTATTTATAAAACAATTAAGTCTTTCTCATTAACATAACTTCTGTTTTCGAGATCATGAGAGAATATTTTGGAGAAATGAAAACAACGGGCAGGGGCTGGGGCTGGAGCCCAGGTGGTAGAGGGCTTGCCTTGCAGCCTAGGATGCGGAAGCCCCAGGTTCCATTCTGCAGCACTGAGCAAACTGGCTGTGGAGGCAGATGCCTAATAATTTCAGAATGCAGGAGGATCAGATCAGGGGGATCAGAAAGCCATCATGAGACCCTGTCTCAAAAAACACTAAAAGCACAGGGCATTTTGAAAGACAGGGCCATGCTCATCTCCCCATCCTCTGTGCCTTTACAGGAAGTCATTTTGGAACACATCAGACACGATTCTACTTAAGGCATTACCCCTAACAGACACAGTGTTTCAAAGAGTCCTGAACACAACGTTCAGAGAGCAGTATGTATACATAGAAAGTTCCAAATGCCATGCCTAACTTTAGGAACCTGTCTACTAGTGACCACTATAACTCCACTTTATTTTCAGTATTTGAAAAACCCTACACCAAAAAAAAAAAAAGGTTCTAGATACCATCAACTGCTAAAAACGTAAAAACAAGAAGAGTTTAAGAATATATTTGAACCACATAAACAAACAAAAAGGCATTACAGAAGGGAAAAAAATAATGTAACAATTTATGTAAGTACCTAACACAAGCACGTGTTTACACTGAAAACAAGGGTAACATTGGTACTATATAGATTCGACAAGTGTGCATTAAGGAGATCTGTACTATAAAACATTTAAAACATGGAGAATACTTTTTCAAGGTACAGAAGACAATGAAGGCACACTCACGATTCCTACAAAAACACGCTTGCCAAGATAAAATTCACGTGGGCCCTCGGGTGCTCAAGTGTTTCGCAGTTCTCAGTCCCGCCTCTGCTTTCGCAGTTTGAGTTTCAACACTGATGGGAACGGATTCTAAATTATGCAATTCATCACTGCTATTTTTCAATCTCTCCACCACGTTCTCTATGGAACATGTCTATTTAGTATGAGCATTTAAAACAGCAACGTCATGCGTGCCCCCTACCCCCCCCTTTTAAAAATAAATCACTATATTTAGAAAATCATTATTACAATGCACAGTGCTTCAGTTACCCTGAAACCCCAATCAATGTCCTCCCCCAATCCTGAGAGAGTCTAAGTCCTAACCAAAAAGAACACAAATGTAAAAAGCTGATGAGTTTGAAGATTATAAAAATTGGTTTATTGTAAAAGAAATTCAAGAATAACCAGTAAATTCTTATCCAAATGCTACCCACTAGAGCCAAGAAGCATTAAACACCTTTACATCAAGAAGAAGGACACAAGACTACATTTAGGCTGTGATTCAAATTCAGTAAGAGATAGATGCTGAAGTCTCCTGCAGGTCGATACAAAGGGTTAAAAAGGTTAAAGCACTATGTCGGGCACCGCAGGGCTAGACATTGAGGTATAACTGGGCCAAGGAAGACTGCAGGTTATTTTGTGGGTGAACTTCATTAAGTGACTGAAATTTTTAGGAACAGCTGCATTTAATGACAGCAAAATACAAGATAAGTCTTTATTGAAGAGAAAGATGTTTACAAAAACTTCTCTCAAGGCCCCACTAACTCATTACAACCCACTCCCCTCCCTTCCCACCCTCCCCCCAAGCTAAAGCTAGTCTGATAGATGAAATGCAATCTTTTACTCTGGCTTACTGGCAAACTGTAGGCTCTCTTAAGCAGCCTCATCTTCTGCACACTAACTACATGCTGTGTCATCCACCTGCTCAATCTCCCATTCTAGAATTTCATTATCCTTCTAAAAGTCAATGCATCTGCACGGTGGCCATTTTCCCCTAGACTTAATTCAAGGCTGAATCTTTCAGCTAGTTACTTTGGGTGACTGACCTATGGATCATTATATACAATAAACTGATTGCGTTTGAGCACTGAAAGCACTTAATAAAACCTTTCTACGTCCACTTATGCACTATGCTAAACCAAAGGGCCCAAATACTTAGATTTCTAATTGAAAAAAGAAATCTTCCTAAACTCGGGCTTTTCATAATAGCTTTAGCTAGGAAAAGAGTTTTTTGTCTTTTATAAACCCTTGAAAATAAGGGATTGTTCTAGAAGCATTCGAAGACCCTTGTATGATAGAGGTGCTGGCTGGTGCCACTGTAATTCATAACCAACTATTACTTCATAGCTTATACTGAAGAGTTAATTCATGCTTATTCTGTTCCTTTAAAAAATACTCTTTGGAACCATTATGAGCCCTGCAGACACATACTCTAGTAATATCTCTTCTTGTAAAAATAAAGGCATTATCATGCTTATCTCTATTTCTTTGCTAAATTCAACTACCAATATACATTTACTAACCTGATCACCTTCTCAGTTAACCCATGACCTCACTGTATTCTACACACTACCCCAGGATCCATTTCCAGCATACAGAAGTATGAGCAGGTCTGGTGAGAGCAATGCTATAGGCAATACTCAGTCTCATCTTCACTGTGTGCACTACAAATGAGAACCCAAGTACCAGTGTTCGCTCCCCAGGCTGAGGCAGAGGAATGCCAAAGGAAAACGGAGGCACACCTCTCCAAAGCTCACTCCTGCCATGTACACCAAGAACCTCTTCAGTGACTTCCCATCTTTACTCAGTCCAAGGGGGAGAATAAAATCTCTTGCTTGCTTCTGCCGAATTCATCAGCATGCACAGAGGGCACAGACAGCTCCCCTAGGCCTTATTCACAGTTAAGAAGCCATTCTACAATACTACACTACCTCAAACACCTGCAGATTGCCCCAGCCGAATTTAAACTACGTGTGAAACATGAACTAACAGTCATATATTCTAAATGCATACCTTCAAAGCTACCATTTTAAAAATAACTTGGAAAGTAGGGAAACTTTGAAAAAAAAAAAAAAGATACATTCTGCTATCAGGCTATTATAGACATATAATAAGTGTGTACGTATATAGAGATAAGATTTAAATAAGATGGTAAAAAGCCAGGAAATACTGATTCTCCCCATAATAACCATCCCAAGCTACAACTATAAAAGGTATTCACTAATAGAGTAATTTGTCTACATTCCAGCAAAACCAACCAACCACAAAAACAAAAGAAATCCGAAACACCCACAGAAATATCCACCCAAGCCTATCCTAGAGTATGTGGCAATAATTAATGTATGTCTATGGAAATGGTTTCATGCCTTCTAAGCTTCTAAAATAAAATCCAGGTCACCATGTGACAAAGGAGAGTGACAGGAGAAGAAACCAAAACCGCCCAGGCAACAGCCCTCAGCTCTGGTCTTCAAATCAGCGTTAAGTACTTAAGATCAGATGCAGCGTTTCTGGCTTGTCAGGCCAGTAGGGCAAGTTTTCCACTGGCCAAAAGCAGCCGAAGAAACAATTTCTTGAACTAAATGCTGTGACCTGAAGGATTTCAGTTTGGAGTCCGAGTGTTCCATTAAAACGATTGGTGACCAAACCACTGGGTAAAAGGAATGATATCCAAACAGGCTCACTTCCCCGGCCCCCAGACGAACAGCAGTTACAAGAGCCAAAGAAGCGAAAGGGGTTCTTGATGTTTTGGTTCTTTAGGGCTGGCTGTGAAGGAGGTCAGCAACATTAACAGCAGCAATGGACAGAAAAGAGCAAACAGTGGATCAAAGAATCCTGCTGGACTGTGTTCATCTTCTTCTGTGTTAGCCAGAAAATTGTCAACTGGCTTATTTGGAAATTTCAGGGATGCGCATCTTATTTCCTTAGATCCTTCACAGACCTGGAAAGCAGTCTCCCCTAGGGCTCTATAACCATGTGAGAAAGCTTTCTTTATCTAGCTTGGTGGCCGCCAACACAGACTCCATGTCGTTGAGGATGTCGGAACTCAGCGCTTCCTGCAGGCTGGGCATCAGCTCCTCTCCTTCTATGTTCATGGCATCTCCTTCCAGTGTTCCAAGGTCCACATTTGTCCCAGGGATGGCTTCAAGGTAGTCTGGGAAACGGCTCTGCTGTGAAGGCAGGGTACTTTGGTTGATAGTGTCACCTAGTTTTGAGGTGAAGGGGAGAGGGGAGATTATGAAATAAAGGTTCTGTGAAAAGCCAACACCAGAGCTGCATTGTGTGGGTATATGGAGATGCACAGAGACAAAAAATGACTCCAGGCTCCCTGAACTGCCCTTAGGAAAGCATGCAGGTAACTGAAGAACAATGCTTCGCCATTCTGCACACGCTCGGTGTACTGCCTGGCTGCGTACTAGAAAGTGCTGAGCACTCAGGGGGTTGTGAAGAACTACAACTCTTTGGAAAACTCAGGGGAGACAGAACAGGCATGTTCCACTCAGCATTTAGGTAGGGTACCTTCCTCCTGTCTTCTAGATAGGCACTGCCAAACCACAGAAAGATTAATGGCAAAGGGTCTTCCTTTCTCTTAGATACACTCTGGGAACACTATAAAGTAAGCACTGCAGGAATACTTCACTCCACTTGTACAGAGTCACATTACTCAGAAGTTCCTGAATAAATGTTATCTCCCCAGACTTGTTTCTAGATTTCTCAAACTTACCTGCAAATGACATTAACACTCTTTGGGGCTTCAAAAGAACATACTTTCGGAAAGACTATCATAATCCCTAAGTGCTGCAGAGAAGAGGCATGGGAGGGGGCCAGTATAGGGTGGGCCGGGCTATGGGGTGGGCTCCAAGTGGCTCCTAAGGGTGATTTAAGATATAGATAAATGGGGAGAAGGGATGGATTCTAGGAAACCTCACATTCATGAGCTGGGGTGGGCAGGCATGAAGTGCTCCCCCAACACTTTAGGAGAGACCGTCAGCTAACCAGCTGAAGACCTGTTTTGTCCTACAGACTGTGCTCTGGCCATCAACAAATCCAGGGTAAAGGCACCAGATAAGCCAATGGAGAAGCTGTTCCTCTCCGACCCCTTCAAGACATGTACTCCTCCACTCCTCCAAGACCTCTACTATTCTAACTATAAAACTGGTGGGGTTTACCCCAAACATGTGGCTTCCTGAGCTCTGTGGAATAAAAAATACTCAAGAGATAGATAACGAATCACAGAAACATTCTTCCAAAATTAAAACACAAAACTAAAATAAGGAGGCTTCTAATAGGGTCTTCAATTAACATGTTAAAATAAGTCATATTACAGCTTTATTCAGAGAGCTAACATAGCCAATTCATATTCACGTTATTTAAAAATGAAGATGGAATAGGGGGGAGGCTCAGTCTGAATCTGAACCAAAGTCTGCATGTTCTTAACTGTTTTCCTCCAGGTAATCTTCACTCACAGTAGCTCATCAGACCTGGTGACGATACAGCTCTGTGACTGACAACAAAGTGTCCAGGAAGACTAAAAATACTCACCTGTATCCATTTCATCCACGCTGTTCAGGAAGTCGTCTGGGGTCCGAGGGACGCTGTAGCTACTCATGCTAAGACCACTGTCTGTGCTCTCGTCTCGGGAGTGATAGGTGCCACTACCAAAAGCACGAAGAGCAAGCCACGTTAAACAATCACCTCAAGGCAAAAGTAAACATGCTGAGCATGACCATGAGCACTGGTGAAAACCCGTGCCCTCCGGTGCCTACAACAAGTCTCGCACTTTATTAGAGCCACAAACAGACACACGGATCCTAAGTGAGGTGACAGCGTGAAGGGGGCCCAGAGTCCTAAGGTCCAGAGTTTGGTGGCTCAGCAGGGAAGACAGAAATTGTCCATGTAAGTATTCTCCCTGGAATATCACCTGCATGCGGCTGTGCACCCACCCTGCTTACTGGCTGCAAGGTCTCAGGTCCCCAGGCAGTGGCAGCACAGGCAGAGGGAAGACAAGCCACCCCAGGTAGACAATGACACAGGCTGTATTAGGCTCCTGGGACAGAAAAAACTGAAGCTAAAGAAAAACCCAAGCCCAATAAAGAACCAGAATGCCTTTTTGGGCCAAAGTAGATAAGACTTCCCAGAGCTGATCTCTTCTGTTGGGGGAGGGGGGTTCCCAAACACCTCAGCACCAGATAAGAGGGCCTCCTAGCTCCAGTGGCTGCAAAGATCAACAAGGCAAGTGTGTGCCTTCAGGAGAAACAATATGCCTTGAGGCGTATTCTGACTTCAGGCTGAAAGCAAAGTCTTCCAATTATACACACAATTGGCAGTGGTAAACAACCTAGAAAATTCCCAAACAGAACACTTTCCAGAACAGCAACTGGAATTAATTGGAATTAGAAGCTGGATTCTACTAATACTAAAAAAATCTTGGGCAACTGTTGTTATATTCTTACTGGTTTCTGAACGCAAATGTGGACTTTAACTCTCCTCACAGGATGGACATTTGGAACCAGCTGATTTAAAAAACCACCACCAAATCCAACCCTGGCTTTTAAAAGTAAGTTTTAATAATTGCTCAAAGTTTAAAGACCAGCAGCCTTCTTCCTTAAACTGTTTAATACACAGGTCCTTTATCACTGAGGATGGCAGAACCAGTGCGATTAGTCTCCCTCACTGTTCTCAAAGCTAAGTGTGGGAGGAGGACATGGAGTACCTTAAGGAGAAGGTGATTCAAGGAGGAAGTATATTTACAGATTCCCATGAGCTCTTTGGAAGCCACAGAAGCAGCCTTTTCTAGGAGGGGGCACAGGTTATTTTCTTGGCTAGGGGTTGCTCTCTGCTAAACCCCAACTCCTGCAGGCCCCACACATCCCACAAATGCTGAGCAGCTACTAGTACCTGACAGGCCCTAGTCTGGCTCAGGGAGTCTTGGCAACAGACTAGAAAAGTTGCTTATGAGGTGGTTCCCAGCTGGAGGAGCAAAAACACGAATGAATTCCATGTGTGTGGTATAGGACCTGTGTGAGCAAAGGGCTCTGAGGGTAAAAAGGAGGGAGTTTGAAACGCACAGGGCAAGGCTTCGGAGGGGACAACTGAGAGTTGGGACGTGGCGCCCTGGAGGGAGTCAACGCACAGCTGCTGAGGGGAACAGTGAGTTTAGGGAACAGGGTAAATCAACTAGCCAGCAACAAAAGAAAAACAAGTCTTTTTTAAAGAAGAAAAACTGTCATCCAGGTGCAAGCTTAGAATCTGGGATACTGTTGCTGGGATCCTAGCCTTCAGGAGGTTGAAACACGAAGACTCTAGGTTTGAGGATAGCCTCAGTTAGCAGGCACAACTATCTGAAAAAGAGACTCCACAAAGATCAACAGAGTGAACAAATGATTCTGCCCTCAGACCAGCAACAGCGAGATCTGCCTGTTGATTCTACTGGAGAATCCCAGACGTTAGCAGAGTTTGCATCAAAGGTTTGAAGTATTTTCATAAAGTCCTGTCAGAAGGATACACAGTCAGTCATTTTGTGGGGGAAGTCTTGATTTTACCCTTAGTATAACATGAGCCTTCAGTAAGGCAGGTCCTGTAACTGCTCTGGAACTTTCCTTATGGAAGAAAAAGATTCTGTGGTATGACCTTCACTATCTTCAGTTTAAATTTAGAAAAATCATAAGCTTATATAAATCTGCTCAGTTTTAGGAAGAAATTTAAATTCTGTATCTAAGCGTGTATGCTCAATAAAGACAGGTTTAAAATACGTTTTACTTTGTGTTGAGACAAAAGTCCCACTATCTATCCAGCCGGGCCCGCTAAGCAGGAGGCGGAACTTCAATCCATGATCCTCCTGTCAGCTTCACAACTGCTGGGGGTATCTGTGAGCTGCCACTCTAGGCTGCACTTAAAGATGGCCTTTGAAAGCAAACCTCCCAGCCCACAAGCACAAACTGACTTACTTTTTTTTTTTTTGGAAACAGTGTCTCAGCTATGGAGCTCAGGCTTGTCTCAAACTGACAGTGATCTGCCTTCAGAGTACTGGGACTAAAGGTGTGTGCCACCACTCCCAGCACATTTATCTTAAGACTGGGAGAAGGATGGAAAATTCAATTGTTTAAAATATTTTTAGCAGGAAGCTGGGCGTGGTGGCACATGCCTTTAGTGTCCTGTTGTGTCTTGTCCTGTCCTGTGTCCGTCTGTGTGTCATCCACACCCCCCTCCCCAAGGCCAAGGCAAGCCTGGTCTACATAATGAGTTCTAGGCCAGCTGGGGCTACATGGAGACCCTGTCCCAAAACAACAACTACAAAATATTTTCAGCAGGGTAAAAATTGTTTTTGTTAAAATCATAAAGTCTTCAATTTAATTGCTAGGAAACAGCTTCCCTAAACCAATTTTAAAAGAGCATACAAGCTGAACACGGTGGTGTATGCCTGCAACCCCATCACTTGGGAAGCTGAGGCAGGAGGATCACTGTTAGTTGGAGGCCAGCCTGGGTTACATAGCTATCTTGACTCAAACAAAAGGAAAGTTATGTTGTGTAAAAATCAGTATTCCAATCT